AAGTGGAATGGAGTACAGCAAAGGCGGCGTTTCTCACCAATGATATCATTCTGAGTCAGCAACTACTGGCGGGAAAACTGCCCTGGCTGCGCTCCAATTCGTGCCTCCTCACGCGCCCTATCGTTTGCAGGGATCACGACTGCATGTAGATGGATGGGGACCAGTGAGAATAAGAGCGCTTTGCGGCCGACGCCAACAAATTCTTAGTGTTGCGCAACCGTCGAGAACATGCTCTTTCCACCGCTCGAAAGAAGTGAGGAAGCAGTGAGCAAGCTTGCCGCCCTGGCCCATGGAGGCCCATTCCGTCCCGTTATGCTCCTTAACCGACTGTTTTCCGGTCTCTCCCCAGCTTGCTTCTGTGCAGCGACGCCTCTTGCATCTTGCAGTTGATCGTGACTGTCTTATAATAGTCCAATGATCAACTGTAATAAGAATGGCTGGCGCGTTTTCGTTCAATGGGAACCCTTTTGGTATCCAGCTAAGCTTGAACAGGCTACCATGCAAACCCTTGCATATTCCTGTGATCAAAGTGACTCACTTAGAAAATTTCGCGACTTCATAGGAGTCAGCAGGTGAGCCTTAAAGGCAAGTTGCACGATAAATCCACAAGGCGCATAGGATGAATGCGCTTAGCAGGACAGGATTCGGTGCCCCGAGTAAGCGCTCCATAGTGCCTTTTCCAACTAAAGGCACCGTTCTTGCGCCTAACCAATACACAACGTGCCGACCCACACGCCCACTGCAACCGTCCGCCCACAAATGGCCGCATAGTCACATCGATGCTGGTGCTCTTATAGCTTCAGTTTTGAAGTACAATTGATATGAAGCGTCGCTGCGTGCATGTATGAATAGATATGAGTAGCCGTATCTAACGGATTGATTGTTGGCACGATGCCAATGGGGGACTCGTCCAAAAATGCTCGTCAAATACTTGAGGTTACTTCGCTTTTTCGCATTTCCCACTATAAAAGAACTCCGATTCTATTTTTTAGGCAAGTGCTGAATTATCGTTGCCGTTAGTCAACATGAATAAGAAAAGAACTAGCAAACGCGCAAATGTTGCCCTCTCCAAACCGGCAGCATCGAAAAGGCTATATTGCAATCTCTGTAAAAGCTGTTCAGCCTTTTGCTGTTCACTGCCGATTAGTGGACTAGCGGCCTCATTCACGTGAACGTGTGAGTGCTCGAAGGCAATGGCACAAATAGCCATTGAGCTGAGTGGTCAAAAGTGGCCCCGGTAGCGTAATAGGGAACGCAGCTGCACGGAAAGCAGAAGATGCGGGTTGAATCCCGTCCGTGTTCCGACTGGACTTTTTGCCCACTCATCATTCTTTGCTGAATATATTGGAATAGATCTTTTTTTTCTGTTTTAGTTCCAGCTTACAGGTCAGAAGCAATGACAATGTTCGTACAGAGCCCATTCGAGGAACTGCCATCAGTGGATGTGCCTCAAGTGCAGAAAGAAAAGCACTACCTGTGCTGGAATCCGGATGAATCATACGCTTGGGGCGCTTGCTACAAATCAAATGCCCTATCCCGAACATTTGCGCCATACGAAAAATTCAACTGGGTATTCGTTGGGGCCGAACCCGCAGCCGGTTTCATTCGATTTGCTCAATTTGCAAGGTTTCGTGGGAGCCCGACAATGCCACGCGTTTAGTCACTGAGTTTACAATTTTTTTCCTGCTAAAGCGGCTCTATTACAGGTCTTCTGAGGCATCAGACAGGTTCTCTGGTGCAGAAGAATTCCGTGCAAAAGACACTTACCAAAGTGCAGAATTCCGGGAAATCAATGAGTTTGTCACCATTCTCATCAATGGTCGCTAGCATTGTGACGACCTCTTCGGGATTCAAGCCAAATGAGAACGCGGAGTCGCGTATAGCTCGCTTCAAATCTGTCGTTGGGATGAAGCCATCGTGATCCAGATCGAACTAAACAGTTGAAGAATTGGGGGCCTCAATGAGCTAAAAATAAACATTCAGCAGAGTTCATTGGAAAGTGTCCTATTTCCCACAAGACACTTTATGAAAAGCAAGAAAGGCCGCGTTCAGACTTGGCGGTGACGCGCATGGACGCGCGTTGACGCCCGTATACGCGCGAAGACGCGCTGTAGCTCGACTCGCGCGTACACGGGCTACAATTGACCCGCGCTACAATCGCAACAGCGCTCCAGTACTAGAGGCGAACGCAGCCGCAGACGGGAATCGAGCGCCGCCGGTTGCTTCTCCATTGAGATAGTATGGAGAAGGGGGAGGGTACGCTTTGCCCAATCACGCATTCTTGTATCGATCTACACTGGCCTAGGAGATTGGGGTGTGTAGAAGAAGGGGAGAGTAACAGGATGTGTGAAGGCAGCGCCTACCCACCTGCTATCCCATGCTCTCTCGAAACACAAGTGGCCGGCGCCCTATCTGCGGTTGCGTTCGCGTCTACAGTATTGGAGCGTTCTTGCAGCGCGTCGACGCGCGTCGTCGCGAAGTCTGAACGCTGCCAAAGTTCTCCAAAACGCTAACATTGTTGAACGGTGCACTTACGGCTCTGAAAAGTCTGATCCATGAAGTGCATTCCACTTCTGATTGGCACATCATCTCGTGTCGTCCTTTATCGAACATTTTCCTCGCCTCAGCGATGCTACCGGGTAGCCTGAATCGGTCTTTCCTTTATACTTGGGCTCCTTATTCCACTTGGGAAAAGCAATAAAGGCAGAAAAATAAAC